GTTTTAGGGTCAGGTAGGTACCTGTGAGGTTAGTCAGAGTTAGGCTGTAGAAATATAATGGAAGTCAATGGAATGTCTCAAAATGTCCTGATGCATCTCAGTAATCCAGGTAAAAAAATCAAAAGGAAAAAAATTTTATAGGTCGTCTGGACAGAATTTTGCCTGAAACTCTCAGACTGAAGAAGTCTCTTGGAAGAGAGACGAAACGTTTCATTAAAGAAGAACCCGTCCAGAGGACCTATACAATTTTTTTCCTTTCAAAGAAACAGAGCACATAAGACCATGCCACAATAAAAAAAAACATACATGTAATAAGAAAAAGAATTCCTCACACAGTGGGTTAGGTATAAAAACATAAAGCTACAGGCTTGTGGATTATACACACCATCATTGGTTATTTTTTTATATTGATCAAAATCCTACAGGTGCTTGATGGGTTAAAAAGATGTTTGAGCTACCATCTCCAGATCAAAGACTAAAAGGCAAAAAACACAAACTCAATAATAAACTACTATTTTTTAGTCTAAAATGTATTCTACGAAACTGGATTTGTGATAAGCCTCCCACGGTAACTCAGTGGTACAGGGAAATATTTAGAATCATTCCAGTGGAGAGTCTAAGTGCAAAATTAAGTGACAATACAGAAAACTTAAAGGCCCCCTGGCAGCCCCTGATGGACTTTCTGCCCAGTGATCCACAGTCTGACCTCCTTAAAGGAGAACTTAAATTAAACTGGAAATAATGTCAAGTAGTTTTATTTTTATGTATCTAGTTATTTCTTTTCTTTATATTTTTTCCTTTATCTTTAAGCTCCTCACACTTAAGTTTGTATCATAGCTACACCAACTTTGTGATATGTTAGTTCTGTGTTTGAAAAAAGAAAATAAATAAAAAGTGCTAAACAAAAAAAAAGATGTCTGTGTGTGAGGGTGAAGGGGGTGTCTCTCACTTTACTTTAGTATTTGTTTGCCTAATTATGTAACATTAAACTGTCACCATCTCTGTTTAGGCAACGTAAGAATTTTGTCTGATGAATTTAATGTTCAAATGGATAAACTTTATTATTACTATTATTATTATTAATTTGCAAATATTCACTTATTTTGAATTTGTTGCCTGCAAAGTATTGGAACAGCAAGTCAAATTCTCTTCTTTTTGTTGTACACTGAAGGCATTTGGGTTTAAGATCTAAAGATGAGCATGAGACAAGAGTTCAGAATGTCAGCTTTTATTTCCTGGTATTTACATGTAGATGTAAATGTTCTTCCATGAAGCAGCTCTGTTGTCCACCATTTATATTTTCAGTTCCAGGCTGAGTCATTTCTACCTTCTCCTCTCTGTCAACGCTCTCTGGTTTCATTTAAAAGAGTGAATCATCAGATATTGTCCAAGATTAACCTTCAGGGTGGATATAGCTCACTAGCAGCCTCGCACCGAGGACCTATCCACGTCATAATTTACCCAGAATGCTTTGCGTGTAAATTAAATGGCCCCGTCCGTGTAAAATATTTTTAAACTTTTAGTTTAAACATGATAAAAACTGAACATCCTACAGTATTTTAGTCTTTATTTTACAGTTAAAATATATGTTTATTAAACAAAGTCTAATGTTACAACTAATCATGGATCTCTGTTCCCGAAGTCGGCAAGCATGCCCCAGCCATGACATCACCTGCACCATGCTTCACATATGAGCTTGTGTCCTTCAGATCATCAGCAGCTCCTTTCTCCACACTTGCAGGAATCAAATTGAACATGAGTGAATATTTGCAATAAATAAATAAATAAATAAACAAAAAATGTATCCATTTGAGCATGAACTTTCTTGTCTTTGTAGTATTGAAAAGGACTGGTAAATCATCGTATTCTGTTATTATTTATGTTTTACAAAATGGACCAATTTCAGTGGAACTGAGGGTTTATACTATGTGAAAAGCGAGAGGCAGAGGACTACTGCGCGTCAGAGCCACTCTGCAGGACGAAACAACTAAGGTTCTGGATAAACTGCTCAATAAATGTCTCAGTAATAACCCAGTGTAGAAAAGGAGGAAAAGAGGAATCATCGTGGAAAGATGAGGCCCTGCACATGCGAAATGAGGAAGTGGCTGACTTCAACAAATCCCACGAGTGGCTGAACGTTTGTGCTGAGGACAGGTGTATGTTTTTTAAACTTTCAGTTTAATAAAGTTGGTGGGAAAAAAAAGAAAACTCAGATCTCTGTCCAAACGAATGCATAGATAAAATAATGGAGGACCCAAATTAAAATGAAATGGGACCTCCTTCCTTTATACTTTATGTACACTAGGAGGCGCTGGTTACACCTCAAGGTATTTTTTTTGGCAAATAGTTTTATTTTCAGTCTTAATTTAGGAGTTTCCTTTTAGAAATTCACTTTTATGTGTTTCCTGCTGTGTGTGTCACGAACATGGAGCGTTTGCTTTGCCTAACTCAACATTGTCCTGCCCTGTCAGTGAGAGTGGTTTGTTGGCTGGGCTTCGATTGGCAGAGAGCCTGAGTGCAGTCTTCATCTGTCCCAAGCCGCTTTAGCTCTTAACCCAACAGGCACCTCCCTCCCTCTTCATCTGCCAGCTGCTGCAGCACATGTGACCCTGAATACCCGAGCTGTCAAACTCAGTCACCCCTCTGTTAGCAAACAAATCAAAACACAGCGTTAATAGTGTTCAAAAAGAAAAACAAATAAAGAAAAACATGAACCAAAAGCACCTACAGTAAATGCTAATAAATATGTGGATGTGCACAGGCTCAGATACCCTGAAGTGAACTTCCTGGCGGCCTAATCCTGCAGATTAGGGACATGGAGCGCTGGGATGAAAGCCACTCTTTCTTTTGTCTGATAAAGCAAAAGGCGTGACCTCAAACCTTATCAGTTTATTCAGCTCCCCTGACTGATAATCATCAATATGTCACCCGAAAATGATCACACATTAAAATAAAACAAAATCCATAACTGACCACTCCTGACTAAGATTATTCTGTACAGTTTATTCTAAAGCAAATACAGTTTTATTGGTGATGCACATTAAATTATTGAATGTGCAGAAATCTTTATTTGAGAATGTTTCTGTTTATATTTATTATAGGTTTTATTCCTCTTATAGTTATTAGGCCTATACATAGAGAAATAACTTGTGTTTTGTTTTCAGGGTTTCAGTTTTAAAAAATTGAGTCTCTGCCACAAAATGAGTTTTTAGACATTTTGGAGTGAAACAATTAATATCTTACCTGTTGTAAAAAGCTCTGAGTATCCTCAGTTTAAATAAGCAAAACAACATTCTACCCAAAATAATTATGTTGACAGCAAATCCAAGCTGGGCCAATCCAATCCATGGAATAAAGTGAGGTTGCTGTCGCCATATAAGAGAGAGGGTTAGCCTCAGAAATGACTGGAATCAGTGGAAGTAAATACATAGTCCTCTTAAGGATAGTAATACCAACTTGTGTGTGTGTGTGTGTGTGTGTGTGTGTGTGTGTGTGTGTGTGTGTGNACTTGTGTGTGTGTGTGTGTGTGTGTGTGTGTGTGTGTGTGTGTGTGTGTGTGTGTGTGTGTGTGTGTGTGTGTGTGTGCGCCTGGGTTTTGTTACGGTTTTAGGACCTTTCCACATAGACATTTGCCTTGTCAGGACCAGTGGTCCTTTTGAGGACCAGACTGGTCCTAACATAGAGGAACACTATTAGCAGGTTAGGGATTAGGTTTAAGACTGAGGTTTGATATAATTCAAAAGCAAATCTAAAACAACTCCAGTTTCCAGAATTTCATAGAGAGCTTATAAAACTTGTTAAAAAAAAGTGGTTGCTTGAATCATCTTAACATTATTGTGTTTTAACTTTCCATCAGATGGCTTCACCAAACGTAGTCCTCTTCAAGTTTCACTTAGTTCTTCAGAAACTGCAGCTGGCTTGGTCTTCAGAACCACAGACTGTAAAACAAAACAAAACATTTAATGAAAAGGTGATATTAATCTCCTAGCTTTACTTTTTCTAAATTATCTTAGATTTGATCTATTTCTCCAATAAAACACTCTAAATAACTCCAAATCAGACTAAACGAGAACTTCCCAAAACTCCACTTTAAAAGATTTGAACTCTGTCTTTAAGTTTCGTATTGTTTTCTCATTTTCTGTGTTGCACATCTGCGTTTTGTTATCAGCCTTCACTCACATGTTCCTCATTTGTCTGCTGCCCTCCCCGGTTATATTCATCATAGTGGTAAGTTATTTCTTCTCAGCATACTGTTGTTTGTGTTGTCTTTTATCTCACCGGGGTTTCGGTTATACTGGTTTGCTTTGGTTCTGGTTCAGTTGAGCTCTATCATTGTGTTTTATTAGTGCTCTGTGTTCTCTGTATGTATAATATAATTCTGTTGACAATTATACAACCAGAGGAGGAAACTTGCACACAAAGAAGGTGTGCACTGTCAAGATTTGAACTGAGAACTTTATTGTGGAGTAATGTTGCAAAGCTTTCTTTCTGAAAATATATCTTTTTATTTTTAAAAGAGTGACAGCAATATTTATTGGATCTCTGTACCAACCAAAGCTGTGACTACTTTTTGTCTCTGTTGATCTCTTCATCTAGCCAAAGTCAGCCCTCCAAAATATTCCAGATTGATCTGCCTTCCTCA